TAAGAATGAGAGATCGACACCTGCCAAGCGCCCTCCGCAATCACCGAGCCCGACCAAGAGTGCAAAGGCTCCGAGAAGGAGCATGAGCGCACCGGCGCCTAAGCTGGCTTTGCAAGGAGCGGTCGTTTATGTGGATGTGCACACCACGGAGGGCGAAGATGCTAGTGGTATTTTCATCGAACTGCTTCAACAAATGGGAGCCCGATGCATCAAGAATTGGTGCTGGAACCCTCGCGCGAGCCTGGCCCCGGAGGAAGGGGTGGAACCCAAGGAGGGTAAGGTGGGCGTCACCCATGTGGTCTTCAAGGACGGAAGTGCTCGGACGCTGGAGAAGGTGCGCCACGCGCGGGGCCTGGTCAAGTGTGTTGGTGTCGGTTGGGTTCTCGACTGCGAGCGGGAGAGCAAATGGCTCGACGAAACCCCCTACGCCGTCGACAGCTCCATCGTCCCCCGCGGCGGTGCCAAGCGCCGCAAGAGCATGGAACCGCGCGCGCTGAGCAACGTCAACGGCACGCTGGTCCGGGCCACCGCAACCGCCCCCGCCCTAGATCGCCGCCGCTCCGGCGCCATCAGCCGAGACACCGTGGAAAGCTTCACCAGGGACCACAGCACGCCGCCTCTCTCTTCCCGGGAGGAACAGGAACATGAGGAGTCAGGCTCTACGGCTACGCCGCCCGAACAGGTCGACTACACGGTGGGCCACACCGAACCCGACCAGCGGTACTGCCACACGCCCCAAACCCCCGGCTCCTCCGCCTACGCCTTGGACATGGACGCCATCGGCATGTCCCCCGCCACCCCATTCTACCTCTCCCAGCGCACGAAGCTCGTCCAGCAGACCTGTCCGCCCAAGCAGACCCGCCAGGGTCTCTTCACCACCCCGGGCCCCGTGCGCGAGCCGAACCAGAAGCTGCGCTCGAAGCTCGAGGCCGCGCGCCGGAAGAGCATGGCCTACAAGCCCCGGGTGGGTAGTCCCCTCGTGGAGTGATCTTGCGTCTTGTTTTCTCCATTCTTGTTATTATGCTGGGTACGGTCAGTCGTGTTTGGGAGCTGACTTCGATTTCCTGTTTGCTATCAATTGACTGGGTCTGGTTTCGTTTCTCTCTCTGGTTTATCTTGTGTATTGGGACACCTACATACCCCCCCTATTTGCAGAATGGTTTGTTTTTTTTTTTTTTAAATTGTCGTGACTGGTTTTGGGTCGATGTGGATATTTCATATTCTTGAATAAAATAAAATTAACATTCTTACTTCTCTCTTTTTTCTTGAAGAATGAATGGTTCCTTTCGTATACCGCCCTAATCACTTTGTCGCTGATCGTATAAATCAAAATCTTCAGTCAAAATTGGATTTGTCGACCTCCAAAAGAGGTTCATGCACCCGAAACCCGTTCTCAATATTAAATCCCTCCCAAGATGGAACATTGTCCAAGACCAAAATAAACCATGTTTGAAGATATTCTACTCACCCTCTCTCAATTCTGGGCTGCAAGCTCCACGCAACAAATCAAATGGAGTTCATCCTCCCGCGCTCCGACTCATCCATCTCGCGGTAGAACCCGGCGACCAGGAAGGCCAGCTCGAGGGCCTGCTTCTCATTCAGCCGCGGGTCACAGAAGGTGGTGTAGCGCTCGCCGAGTCCTTCCTCGGTCAAGCCGCCGGCGCCGCCGACACACTCGGTGACGGCCTCGCCGGTAAGCTCGAGGTGCATGCCGCCGAGGAAGGAGCCGTGGGCGCGGTGGATCTCGAGGGCCTGGCGCAGCTCGGACAGGATGTCGCTGAAGTGGCGGGTCTTAACGCCGGTGGGGGTGCTCTGGGTGTTGCCGTGCATAGGGTCGCACTGCCACACGGGGAGATGGCCGGCGCGCTGGACGGCCTCGATGTGACCCGGCAGGTGGGAGGCGATCTTGGCGGCGCCGTAGCGCGAGATCAGCGTCACTTTGCCGATCTCGCGCGTAGGGTTGACGACGTCCAGCAGCTGCGTCAATTCCTCCGGCGTCATGCTGGGCCCGATCTTGATGCCGATCGGGTTGGCGAGGCCGCGGAAGAACTCAACGTGCGCGCCGTCGAGTTGGCGCGTGCGGTCGCCAATCCAGAGGAAGTGCGCGGACGTCGCGTAGAAGGATTTCGAGGGGAGGAGTGGGGTTTGGGGGGTTATGCTTGTTGCCGTTGCCGTTGCCGGTGCTGTCGTCGTGCTTGTCGTCGGGTCCACAGCGGATGGTGGTAGCTGGGAAAACGAAGGGGGGGAGAACATGGAGAAAGCAGGGGCGGAATTGGGGGGTAGGGGGTTGCGGAGGAGACGGGTGAGACTGGTTTCGTAATCGAGGAGCAAACCCTCGTGGCTGGTGTAGACGTCGACGGTCTCGACGCCGCGGTCGGTGTCGATGCCGACGGTTTGCATGAAGCGGAGGGCGTCCTTCACCCGCGACACGATGCGTTCGTATTTCTCCTTGATGGCAGGGGTGATGACATGGCCCAAACCCCAGTCAAGCGGGGAGTGCAGGTCCGCAAGACCGGAGGAGAGGGAGGCGCGCAAGTAGTTCAGCGTCGCGGCGGAGTGGAAGTACGCCGACACCAAGCGCGAGGGGTCCGGTTTGCGCGATTCGGGCGTCGCTTCGAAGCCATTGATGTTGTCGCCTCGGAAGGAGGGCATCTCGACCCCGTTGATCGTTTCCATGGGGCTGGAGCGAGGCCTGATGGCTCAGGAATTAGTGCATTAGGCCTACGGTTGGCAGGACAGGACGTGAGACAAACGTACTTTGCAAACTGCCCTGCAATCCGAGCAATGCGCACCACAGGCTTATTCGCTCCTAGAAGACATGCATGAGCATCATCACCATTACATTAGCGGGGATCTAACAGACTTACCCCAAATCAATATCAGACTCATCTGCAGAAGCAGCTTGACTTTGGCTTCAATCATCTCCTGGTTACAGTAATCAAACAGCTCGGCACAGTCACCTGATTACTGTGAGTTTTCTGTTTCACGTCAAGGGACAAAGTTCAGAAACCCACCTCCCTGAAGCACAAACGCCTTCCCCAGGGCGACATTGCGCAAACTCTTCTTGAGATTCGCAACCTGTGCCAGAATTTGCGATCAGTAAAACACATGCACAGAGACGACCTCAAAAATTGCCGGTACAAAGCATCAGTTACACAGGAAAACACACCTCTTGTGTGGTGACCAACGGCGGAAGTTTCCGTAGCTTCTCGAGAGCTGCCTCCGTCGCCTCTGTGTCTTCGTACGCGACGCATTGTTTGGCCGGCTTGGACGTCCACGCTAATAGCCGGACTGTATTAGCAGCTTGTCTTGAAATTGGACAATGGGGATGTTGCTCTCGTTGTTAGAGACCGAACATACACGTAGGAGACCAAGTCTCCATGATTTTGGAGTATGGGATACACAGATCTGGCGGTGTACTTGGGGAATTGTGAGGAGGTCGAGAAGAAGAAGGGAGGGAGACGCTGTACGCAGGTATGATTCTAGCAATGATCGACGGCTAAAAGAGCTTGGAATGACAGCGGACAAGCCAAAAAAAAAAGTGTGGAGATAATTCCGAATTGGATTGGACCCTGCTTTGCGATGTTTTCGATGCGGACGGGAACCACCAACTCCTATGAGAAGAAACAGGGGGTAAAGAATGGAGATTCTCTTTCGAATCCGACTAACTGCGGAGTAGAGAGAGGAATAAAAGGGGAGTTCAGGGAGAGAGAGGGAGGAATGGAGAGAAAGAAAAAGAAAGCAAGAACAAGTCGAAGTTGCACCAGGCCTGAAATGGGATGATTCATGCTACTTTCTGGAAGGTGAGGAACGCACGGCTATTCGCGGCCTGAGTCATTATTCCCCGGCACTAGGCTGTTAGTGGTTTAGATCCGGATTGTTAGGTTGATTGTTCTGCCGGAATGTTTGGCTGTTTGTCTGTTTGTCTGTTTGTCTCTCGGGACTGACTGTACGTCATGCAACAGGTGCTTGTGATAACCACTAGGTATCTTCAAACATGGGCTTGGAATATACCCTCCAATCTGACAACAACAACAACTACTACTACAACAAGAAATAACCGAACCAACTAACCAACCAATCAATCATGTCCGACTCCATCCCCTCAGCGCACGCCGACCCCGACGCCGCGGAGCAACCGCTCCCCGCCAACGCCGAGGACCGCAAAGCCGCCGCCGCCCTCTCCTCCCTCCATACCAACGAGATCGCCGGCACCGACTCCCCGACCAGGCTGCCCTCATCCGCTGACCAGGAGGCGCTGGGCAAGGCCATGAGCCGTCTCGAGATCGCAGCTGGTCACCCTGCGGGCAAGAAGCGGGCGGGGACGACGCAGCAGAGTAAGGAGGGAGGGGAGCCGGTGAAGAAGAAGGCGGTCAAGGTTAGCGCCGACGATGTCAATCTTCTGGTAGGTTTCTGCTCTGCAGTCCTCAAGCCCGCTCTCCTCGGGGGATGCTCTTATATATTGGAACTGGTGGAATAAGGCTCGCTGGGCTAATCTAATGTGTGTCAAACGCCCGGTGCCTTGCAGGTGGATCAGTTGGATTTGAATAAGCTCAGAGCCACGGAGCTGTTGAAGGCCCATGAGGGGAATGTTGCGCAGGCAATCAAGGCGTTCATTACGCCTGCGACGCTTGCACGTTGAGGCTGCTGGTCAGTCGGGTTTGAAAGTGGAGATGGGGGCGGATTGATGGACTGGGCTTGGGAGGACGCGGGCGGAAGAAGATCCCGATTTAAGACGGCGTTTTTGGTGGTAACCTTGAAGGTTTGAAGGAGTTCTATTTATCCTTAAAAATGACAAAATGTATGACAGCTATGAAACAATTATGCCACAATTCATCAATGAATAAGTTCCATCCAATCATCTCAGGACATTTCTCATAAGACTCGTGCTAAATCTCACCAATGAACCCATGATGCCCATGTCGCGTAGTAATCGTGTATGTATCCCATGCACATATATAGTCTAATAGTTCTAGTCCATCTAGTAAGGCGAACCGTATTTAACGACGTTCATCAAATCCATCCTCCTCCTCTTCTTCCTCTAACACCTTCTTCCTCTCAATCCCTTTACCCTCGTAGATCATGAACAGAGCGAACCAGCCGATCAATGCCTCTAGGGCCAGGGCCCACCAAATCCCGCCGACAAAGTTATGCTCCAGTCCCAGCCCTAGGCCCCAGCCTCCAATCATGGGGCCCAGGGTACGGGCCCCGCTGGAGATACTCTGCGCGACCCCGTGAATTGTTCCAAGGACAGAGGCGTCGGTGACGCAGTTGTTCACAAGGATGACAGCCGCGGGAAGAGCGAACGTCCTCGAAACAACTTGGAGACCCACAACAAGCGTGAACGCAGGCCAAACCATCCAGGGCACCCGTGGAAGCACGAGAAGGAAAGGCATCAACGCATATGCCAGTGGTGAAAACGGTAGAAAGGTTCGGAAGGAGGTCAAAGTTCCCAGGTGACCTTGCACGCGGGGGTAGATAAAGATCTGCAACGGCAGACCAATGATCCCAATGATAGCCGTTGCCATGCCGACTCGAGAGGACGGCAATCCCAGACCACCACTGAAACGAAAGAAGCCCTTCCGGCTATCTTCTGGGGCTCGTGGAGTTGGCAGGAAAGTGAACGTCATCGAATTGAATGCGCTGGTATGGAAAGCCAGAAGAAATTGAACCAGCAAAGTCAGAAGAACGTTTGGTGTCCAGATCTGCCAGAAGCTGGGGCGTTTGGGGCGCGGCCGAGCACGGGAACGGATAGGGCTGGGAGGAGCGGACATGCTGGTCACGCTGCCATCAATGTAAATGGATTCACTGTCCGGATGGGTTCTGAGCCGACGATAATAGCGACTCCGGCGGCGCGAAAAGAACTTCGTAATAATGCGTCCCAGCTTCCGACCCCAGTCGTCCCGGTAGCGCGCAATTTCATGGGTCTCGTTGAGACCCAAGAACACAGCCCAGAATGAGGCAAAGATATACATCGCACTGAGCAAGTTGGGCAGCGCATATGGCCAGCGTCTCATCCAATGAACTCCGTCGGTACCACCAAGGAATGTCCCGGGGCCGAAGAACTCAGGGTAGCTATTCAGCGGATCCGCCAGTGCACCACCCAGGACCGGACCGATGATCACCCCGATATTGAAGCACATTGGAAGTAGGAGAAAGGCGCGAGACTGATATCTAAGCACGTTAGCTCAAGCCACCCCCGCCCGCAAGCGCCGTTTACCACGCTAACTCACTTCTTCTCTTCAATAATCTCAGAGATCATGGTCCGCATTACCCCGACGTTGCTGTTCAGACATCCCCCCAGCGTGCGGAACACCACAGCGGCCGCGAATGAGTGCGAAAACCCGAAACCCAGACATGAGATGCATGTCCCGAAGAGCCCGATCAAAAGCACTCTCTTCCGTCCCATCCAGTCCGCATCAGCCAAGCGACCCCACCAGACTGCCGTAAGAAATTGCGCGGCGGTGAAACTGCCCTGCAGCACACCCGCCTGAGCAGAGATGGTCGAGTCTGGCAGGGAAGGGTCAAAGGATTTGAGCTGGTAGAACATGTACGCCTGAAGGGAGGTTTGCGTCAGAGGTTCCGACAGTCGCGCGAAAGTCAAGATCGCAAGTTGGCCTTTGTTGGGCAGCGAGGCCCATGTCACAGGCTTTTCGCTCGAAGGGCCTGTAGGCCCTTCGGTGTCGTCGTCATCACTGGCATCGTCGCTGCTGTCGCCATCACTGCTATTGGCGATGTCTATAGATAAGCGTCGGGCAGGGATGATTTCTGCCGGGGGCGCAAGAATCCGAGTCTGCACAGAACTGTCATCGTGGATAGCGGTGTTGTAGCTTGCTTCGTCTTCCAAGGTGTGGTGATCAGAAGGAGAAGCTGGACCCAGAAATTCGCCTCCCTCGTGGAAGGGATCTCGGTGGAGATAAGCAGCCTTGCTGACTTCGGTCGCATCCGTGGGAACATCTACATCGCCGCTGAAACTGTTGTGGTGATCATGATGTAGTTGCGATGAAGTCATCAGAAGAGAAAATGTTGTGTTACGGTAGGCTTGTGTGGTCAAACGAAAAGAAACTCGGCTACATTCAAAAGAGTAAGTGGCAAGGAAGGAAAGAGATCCAAACTCCAGTAGTGATGTGGGCGGGAAAAAAGAATAATAGACAGAATGAGCCGTCTTCGGCCTAAAGCTTGTCATCGCCACTAGTGCCTCTTTGGGTATTTCCGACCGCTTCTTCGGCACGCTATTGCCGACACTATTACTTTTTGGTCTCTGTATAGCTAGCAGGCACGAGACCACAGGAACGCAATGATTATCCAACCCTAGCCCACCACAGAAACACTTGTAACAATCCATTCAACCAATGCTAATGATTCACCAAGCAACCAACACAATGCAACGCCTAATCCAACCCTGGAGCCTTCCCGGCATGTAGAAGTGAAAGAGAGTTCCGCGGAACTGTAAACAAACAATAAGATCCCTTTGCTGCAAGCTCTAGATCATGCCCTCGGGACGCAGAAGTGTCCAAAAGCTGCCGAAGACACCAACTCTCATGGAAGTTCTGGGCTTGGACGCCGAGTCCATTGTCAGGGCCCGGGTCAGCTCAATTAGAGACTGTGCGCAAGCGGCATGCGATGAAGGAGGGAAAGAAGGGATCGAGGAATTGTGGAACTCGCACGAAAGGGAAAGAGAGCACAAGCTCAAAGCAAGCGGAATCATGTAGTTGATATTAGTTGCGATGGTTTACACCACTTCGGCCCGTGAGTTCCATCGTGCTCTCAAATCCTTCCCAGGGCAGTTCATCGTCATCGTCAAATTCCGTTTCAGGGGCTTTGTGGGAGGACTTGATGGATGCGGCGGTCAAATCGCCTGTCGGGCCGGCACCTGTGTCAATCCCAATAGATTGAAGAGTTACTTCCATTTCCTGCTCGGTCATCTCACGGCCGTCCTGTTTCTGTCCCTCGAGTACATCGTACAAGGCGTAGATCTGATCAGCTTTCATGTCGATGTCTTTCAGCAACTTCTCAATCTTCTCACCAAGCAACTTTCGTTGTCTCTTGCTTAGCGAAGCATCCAGCTTATTGTAAGCACCTTGGTACGCAACTAGCTGTATCTTCAGATGTGCCAGTTCATCTTCCAAGGCTTTGAGCACAGTTGCTAGGGCAATCTCTGGCGACTGCGCAGGCCGCATAGTAGGATCTTCGTTCAGAACTGAAGGCTCAGGCATACGCTCCGAGACAGGAACAGGCTTGGGGACTTTCACCGTCTCGACCGAGTGGTCGCAAGAGTCACCAGGCATGACACGCTTACAGACGGTACAATTCTTGCCATTATGCTGGGTAGCACTGTCAAGCGCACGCTGCGTGGGTTCAGGCAGCTTAGTCAGATTATCGACAAGGCTTGCAGGATTGAGAGTGATATCAGGTAGGATGAACGCGGAGGTCATCTCCTCGGCCATCTGACGTCGCCGCCTTGGAGTAGCAGTGGTCGCAGCATGGTCTGAATGACGTCTGTGACGTTCAACAGGCACTGAGAGGTTGCTGTCTCCTTCAATCATGCTAGCCTTGGATGTGGCGGTCAAGTCGCCCATTGCTGATGCGGGTCTTGCTGGCAGCCCCTTGCTTTCTTTAAGGGATGATTTTCTAGGTATTCCGGGCTTTGCCACGCTCTGGCGGGTGGTATTCCCACTCTCATTGCCAGCTAACTCCTTGGTAGCGGTTGCTTGGCGCTTCTTGCGAGCCAGGCGCTCCTCCTCCAAGGTCTTCCGTAGCTGGGCGATTTCGCGTTCCTGAAAATCCTGGTTAAGTTACAAGCGGACACAACAAGTTAAAGGAAGAACTTACGTCCACGAAGCTCAGAAGCGTCAAATCCTGTTCCGCCACCGGAGACTTTTTGGTATTGTTCGTGACCTCACCAGTGGAGTCAACAGGCTCACTCACATCGATCTCCTCCACAACCACCCTCTTGACGCACTGCTTGCCGGTGTTGGATTGCTTCTTGGACGCGGCATCGCTAGTCCTGGCCTTGCTTCGGGCTTTCTCTGCTCTCGACTTAGATTTCTCTTTTGATTGCGAAAGGTCAAGCGAGAACAGAGCCTCTTCAGCACGTTCTCTTTCTAAGCGAGCTATTTCCTTGTCTACCTGAGTAGAGATTTTCGTATTTGACTGCCCCTGACGACCGGCCTTGGATCGGGAGCGCGAGCTCTTCGAGGTAAGGTCTTTAGTGCTTCTGCTGAAGTTTCTGCTCGCCTGTGTATCAAACTGACTATCTTCGTCGCTTATCTCGGTTGCAGATGATTGTTCGGACTCATAAGTCTCGTCCTGATCCTTGGAACCCGATGCGACCTTCACCAATTGGGATTTAAGCTCGGCGTTCTCCTGACGAAGAGCTTCAACTTCATTTTTAAGGTCCTGTGATTCCAGATAGGACACACCCAATTGAGAAACCGCCATGTCTCGCTCTCGGTTCAACCGCTTGAGTGCAGACTCTTGAATCTCGGCCTTCCTCTCGATCATGTCCAGCTTGTTTTGTAGAGCGAGATTCGCTGCATCCAATTCTGAACAATTCTCAGCTAGGTCTCTTAATGTGAGTTGATCCGACTTACTTTGATTCTCACGCGCAAAGCGATCCTTTCTATACTCATCTTCCTCAGACTCATACGATCTGGTGCGAGAAACCTTCTCTTTTCCACGAGACTTGCTTGTCTTTAATGACGCATTCTCCTGTCTCATTTCTTCGACTCTCTTCTCAGCATCGAACTTGGCTCTCTCAAGCTCAGCCACCTTATCCTGAAGTAATCTCAACGAAACAAAGAGAGCTTTCTCGTCTTCTGGAATAGGGACCGCATCGAGCGGTATATGTTCGCGCGTTAGAGATACGTCCATGACATCGTGCAGGGGAGAGACAAAACGCGTAGTGCGCGGGCGATTTTGGCGTGCATATACCGGGGTACCATCTTCATACACCCCTGACACTAGCTCCGACAAGTTCGGTAGGTCGGGTAGGAGGAATGATTGTTGGGTGGCTGTGTCGCCAGCCGTGTTATGCATGCTGCGAGAGCTCGCCGCAGCCTTGCCACGACGCATCTCGCGAGCATAGGCCTCCTGCGAAGCCTTCTCAACAGCGTCCGCAATCTGGTGGGAGAGGTTGGGATTTCCGAAACGCGTCGGACGCGTGTTGTTGGCCACTCCCGACGGCCGTTCGTCTTCAAGCAAGGATCCTTCGTAGGAGTCACGGACCTTTGCATGAAAATCTGAGAGAGTACGGCGCTGGTCTTTCCGGGTCGCCTTGGGATCGAGGTTCTCCTTTTGTGCTTGGCTGGCGCGTCGAATCTGGGCATCCTTACGAAGACTCTCACTCGCAGCCCTTTTGGGTGCGTTGCGTAGAGCGGACTTCTGTGGTGTATTCGATGTAGGGTAGTCGAGTCTAATAGCTGGTGACGACGAACGAATGCTATTCTCGATGCTCATGTAGGAGTTTCTTGAGTCGTCTAAGCGGCGTGCAGGCTTTACGGGTCCTCTTCCGGCTTCGATCGAAATGCTATCGTCATCGTCATGGTCCATCTCCTCTTCTGATGTGCCGACCGGGGAAAAGTTGGGGAGGTATTGCTCGAACGTTGAGGTGTTAAAGGCGTAATCTGGCTCTTCATCCTGCTGGATTTCGCGGCGGTTCCGTGCACTGCTATGCATGTTGGGGAGTCGTGGGCTTCTTCCGATGTCTTTGGTGGACTCGAGAGCTTCGTGCTCGGGATCAAAGTCTGAGCCAAAGGACGCGAAGCTGTTGGTTGTGGCTTCGCGCGACATATCGTCTATGAGCTACGCGCCGGGTTGAGATCCAGTCCGTTGTTGACACTAGTGATGATCGACGCAGTCGCGTTAGCACCTGACTCTCACCTACATTTGTGTGCGGAGGGCTAGGTTAGGGGGTGTAGGATAGTTGTTACCTGGACCGAATAGGCTAGGTGATATAAGTGCGGGATTGTTTAGATGGCAGCGCGTCTGGCCAGCGCGAGCCACTAGTGCTCTGAAACAGGAAGCAGCAACAAAAGACAAGAGCCCTAGGTTCTTCCAATTGAGGGGTTGAGATGAAGAAAATACGGTGCTTTCGCCTCACAATGAGAGTACAACGGCAATCACTCCTGACTGCAACATAAGGTGTAAAAGGTGGATGCGACACAACAAATTAAGAAACGAGGAGGTTGGGTTGACTTGCTTCGGGGTGGAACGGGCGGACGGCAGTTTGGTTTGTTTACATTGTTCGAGTGGAGCTGCTGACCGCCTTGGATTCCACGGCCACGAGGTGCGGCCGGACCAGCAACGAGCCATGGTCTCTCCCCGCGATTTCTTCCGCTATTGGCAATTCTGGTAATTCGGAATAACACAAGGCACTGCTATTGTGATCACGTTCATTTGTTTCGAATATTCAAACAAATAACAATATAATATAGACTCCGCCCAAATCACCCTCCTGTAATATGTGCAGACAATGTGAAATGCAATGCGCGCCCCTGGTGATTTAAGGCCAGCGCTTGCTATCCTTCCGGATTGTAAATGTACAAAGGTAATGTGTCGAAACAAGTCAATCAACAATATGGTTTCACCTAAGCTTAACGCCTTGCTGGCTAACAAAAGTTCAGAGGATGAGGACAAACCAATGTGCCCAAAGGAGATTAAAAGAATATATGCCAAGAATCTAGAAGTCGTAAATGGTCATAGTCGTCACAAGGCACGATCAGGTTTAGCAGTTTCAATATATGCAGGCTTTATCGGCACGCAGCGGGCGGTCGACAGGGCATTTATGTGTTTGAGGCTGGACGAGTATGCGAGCCATCCGTGACCGAGTGACCCTCCATCGATAGCTCAACAAGTGGACGGTCCTCATCAGGACTTTCTACCACGGGTGCATGTGTCGTCGGAACCTCTTCTGCTCGCAAAGGATTGGTAGGTGTTGTGGGAGTATTGCTGATCGGGCTGGCAGCATCGATATGGATTGTGGGTAAGGGAGTCAATTCCCGCAGCTGAGGCGCATGTTCACCTCGTTCAGCGATTGGACTTTGATAAGGAGGAGCCTCTCCCCAGTCGAGGTCTTCGTAATCCGGAGGCGGAATGTGGAGGGCGCCGACGTCACCACCATCTTCCGGCCCTGGAATAGGCTGTCCCAGAGAGTGAGTAGAAGTTGCGTGAGACCGAACCTGAGTCAGAGTGTCTGCTTCGGAAATGGTGGTGGCGCCGGACTGGAAGGACGAATATGATTCACCTCGAGAATGAATGCCGGTGAGAATCGAGCCCGAGGAGCGATCGGCAGCTTCGGAGCTCATGCCAGTAGCATCTGTGAGGAGAGGCCGACGGTCTGAATCGGGCGACGAGGCTCGAACACGCGATCCGTCGTGACGGACGTATCCTACCTCGGCATAGGAAACACTGGAAATGCGTCTGTCGCGACCACGACCCTGACTTTCTGCAAGCGTCGCGCTAAGGGTCGAATTACTAGCGTTGGCAGATGATCGACTCTGTGCGCGCGCCCGACTTTGCATTCGTAGCTGTTCAAGGCGGGCATGATCTCCCTGAGCACGAGCCTCACGACGCTCCTGTCGCCGCTGCTCCCGTTCGGCTAGCTCCTGTCTTCGTTGCAAGCGAACCTGGTACAAGGACTCCATCAAATTTTCTCTGCGCTCCTCCTCCTCCTCAGCAGTTTCAGGGAACTCAACCACGACATCCATACCCTCTCGTTCGCCCTCCCGAGCAATGACCTGTTCTGTTGGTTTGGGGCTCGCAGAATATGGAGGAAGGGTGATAATAGACCGGATTGAAGTTTCTCGTCGAACAGCAGTATTGGTGGTGTGCATTTCAGAGCCTCCTTCTGGGGGTGCTTCAGTCGAGGCGTTTCCGGGGTTGTTGGTCGAAGATCCATCGGGCACCTGTCCATACGTGACACCCACGTTCCATCGATTCCACCGATCCTTCAGGAACTTTCCTGGTATATACTTCGGGCGGCATTCCATTCGGCGGAGGGTTCGCAGTACAAAATAGAGCATCAAAATAAATGACAGGACGAAGATGATGCAGGCTGCACACTACAATTGTGATTATGTACTGTCAGCACCAAAGGGATCCGGATGATGTTCATGAAAGGGAGAGAAAGAATGGAAGGATCGAGTGGCCTTACAATGATGAAGATATTGTTCTTCTTGTTCGTAGTGTGGTCCCCGCCATTGTCGCTGCTCTTCTCCGTGTTTGGGTCGCTGGCCGGCCCATTCTGACGGGCGCCAAAATGCCGGAGGTCGTCTGGAATGTACATGCTGACAAGCTTGGGCGACGCAGAAAAAGGCCCAAGGCCTCAGCCTCAAAACATACAGAGGTACAAGAAGTGTGAGAAGTGCGAAAGAGATGATAAGCGATTCGATTCAAGTCTGGTTCGGGAGAAAAACTCGAAAGATATGGTAGCCTAGAGCGGGAAAGTGGCGGAACTGGCGGATGTGGTGAGGCTGTATACAGGGTGATACAGACGGGGAGCGGAAGCTGCTGATAGGTGCCAATGCGTGTTCGGATGGAAAAGGCAGGGATCCAGAAAGTATACCGGAAGGGTCAAAAGAAGATTAGAGGGGTGTTCAGGAATAGTAGAGATGGTTGGAGTAAGATACGCATGAGATGGCTTGTCAGCATATCCGTGACCTCCATACAGCATACACAAGAGGTGAGGAGGGAAAAAAGAGGGGAAAGAAGAAAAGAAAGAGAAATAAGGAAAGGGAGAAAGGGAAAGTCGGAGAAAGAGTGAAGACAGCTTAGGTAGAGGCAGTCTACCTAGGTAGCTAGAACAAACCAGCGGCTAGCTGGTATCAAAGAGTGACGATTGATTATCTGTCCAAGACAAGACAAGACAGACAGACAGACACCACTGCACCACCAAGTGCAGATTAACTTGAAGGTGAGTGCAGTAGGAAAAGAGAGTGAGTGGCTGGGCCTGCGAGACACACGGGATTGGAGTTGAGTGGCTGGCCTTTCCAAGTTCCACTAAGGCTTTCCCCTCCTCTCCTCTCCTCCCCTTCGTATCCATTTCTTCCTTGATAATCAAATTTGTTCAGCCCACCCTCCAAATGAGAAAATAAACATAGAGTATCCTCATCATACTCATCATATCTTCTTCAGACTTCCTAAATTAATGATCTCCATTTCCTCCCCCTCGAGTAAATTAAAGTCAATCTCATGGTGAAACGACCGACCGAAATTCCATTACAGCCAGTAACTTACTCCTCCGTCCGGCTGTTCTGCCCGGACCACTTTTAGACGCGATGCCATTTTTAGATCTTGTCATCTGTTTTCCCTATCGATAAGCCCGCGGCTCTTCCGATCCCTTCCCCTTCCCCTCATCCATCCAATACGAGGAATGTCCTGTCCAGTTGGGTGCAACCACGCTTCTGGAAGGCCAACGGCTGATGGTTGGTTCATCGAGGCTATGACCATGGAACGCCATTCCCGTGCACGGGCTGGGCTCCCTCGACTTCGGTCGTTTTCTATCATTGGAATAATGTGACGCGCGACTAACTACAGTAATTTGTGACCTTTTGACACAACAGCTAATCTGAGATCTACGGAAAGCCACTAGACTTCTACTGCTACCAGAAGTGGTGGGTGGCCACTGCACACTGCACTCTCGGAGAATTTCGAAGTCAGCACCCAAGAGCACACAGTTTACCATCTTACGGAATACTCTCCCTTCTACTACTCGCTCATAGTTACATGTGTGCGTCTACTCGACTATGACATAGAGATCTACCCGCTTGAGTGAACGAGGTCCTCCTGGCATCGTGCAGTCACCACCAATTGCAGGTCATGTATGGAGTAGCCCTCCCCGCAATTGTTTCAAGCCAAACCCCACAAGCTATACCTCACCGCTGTGCGCCCGACACTGCAGCTGGGTTACCTGCTGGGTTGAGAAGCTAAGTAAGGTAGGTGTCGACAACGTCAACCCAGTCTTACCGGCCACCCCAGCCCTCTAGAGGTCTTGGTCTGGCTACAGATTTATACCTCCTTTGGATCAAGCAAGATCTTATTTGGAAACAAAGAGAATTGAAGAAGCGACAAGTATGTACATGATAGCTTGGTGACTTTTCATGCCGGTCAAAGCGAAAGCCTCCGGGAAAGACAGAATCGACGATTGAGCGCTTCCTTCTTCGTCGCAGGTGCCTCACGTCCAGCGATGCAGCCTTTATTGCACAACATTACCTCTGTTTTATGCATTGGTCTCATCGTCCTCGCAGGGGTCCTCTATCAAAGCCTTCAGTTTCCCGCCATTCCGGCGCGCCAGCTCTTCGAATGGCCCGTCCTCAACCACACGACCTTGTTCAAGCACGACGATCTTGTCCGCAATCTCCATCATTTCTCTTGCGTGCGTGACGATGAGCACAGTAAGTCCAAGTTGTCCGGCGACTAGCTGCTGCACCGTTTGGCGAACGATCTTAGCATTAGTGGGATCAAGGCTGGATGTGGCCTCGTCCAAGATAAGTATCTGGGGCTTTCGAATGAGGGCTCGTGCGATGACAAGCCGCTGAGCTTGTCCTCCCGACAAACCCACGCCACCGTCACCGATAACTGTGAGATAGCCTTGGGCCAGAGATGAAATGAACTCATCAATCCCAGCTGCCTGTGCGGCAGCGCGTACATGGTAAATCTGGTGGAGTGGGGACGAGTCTTCAAGGCCGTAAGTTATGTTCTCCTGGATCGTCCCCGGGAAGATAGAGGGCTGCTGCGACACAATCGAGATGAGAGATCGAAGCGTTGGAGTGTGCACGTGATGAATGTCAACGCCCCCTAAAGCAATTGTGGGCCACCCTTGGGCTGACTTCGGACTCTCGTATAAATTGAGAAGCAGCGATGTTATTGTGGACTTCCCCGACCCGGAACGCCCAACAATCGCTGTACATGAGCTTCTCGGAATGGTGATGGAGACGTCTTTCAGCACCAGTGCGTTGGACCGGGTTGGATACCGAAAGCTGAGCCCCGTGATCTTGACTGGTGCGACTTGGCGGACCTTGAGGGTTCCCTTATGCTCGTGCGAGCTACCTTTGGGGAGATCCGCGAGGCGCAAGAGCTGATTAGCCATCTCCTGTGACGTGCCAATTTGAGGGACTTTGGGGTGGTCAGTAAATGCTACACAGGTGGGAAACAGCAGGATGAGAACATACTCCATGAAAGAACCACGCTTGCATATCCAATGCCGAATAGGAGCATGGAAAACACGCTCATGAGTTGTTCGACGCTGAATTCTGCCGAAGATACCAGCACCGCCCCATAATAGAATATCAAAGCTTTGATTCATCAGCATCTGCTGCATGATACTTCAACAGTCTCGTGACTCACCACTGACAAACATAATCATAGAGTCGACCAGGCCGAAAAGAGAACCCGTGTAGAGAGCTTTTTTGATGCCGATGGTCATGCACACCGCCGCAGCTCTCAAGTGCTTCTTGTGAAAGAACGGCTCTAGTGTCAGGTTTCTGACTGTCCGGATCTCTGAAAACGTCTCGATGAAGACCTCCGATGTCGTGGTTCTAGCTCCAGAAGATCGTCTCTCCCATAATCCAGTCGTTCTCTCGAAGCCTCTAGTGATAGCGTAAATGACGGGGCCGCAAGCGAGAACAACAAGAGTCAACTTCCAGCAGAGGGCCATGCTCCAGATAATCGCAGTCAGAGCAACGGTGGCAGCCACGAGGAGATATCCACCAAAACGGCCAACCAAGTTGCGCATCTCCTCGCCGTTTTGGTTCAGGCATGTTGTTAGCTGGGAGGGTCTGTTCCCTTCTTCGTCAAACCATTTGCGGGGCTGGTCGAGGGTTCGAGCGAAGCCCATCTTGCGTATATCATCGACCCAAGCCTGACCGCATAGATCCAGGAGGTAATGCATCAAAAAGGACACTACACCGTCGGCGAGTGATACCCCGAGGACGGCCAAAGACCACGTCGACGCGTGGCTTTTTTTGTTATAGAAAGTCTGCAGCAGCTGCGACAAACAGAAAGAAAACACCGGAGTCGCCATCGCATGGAGAAGCGTGCTGAAAGATCCGAGCGCCAGCATCCAACGTTGTCCAGTCGTCAAATTTGGTATCATGGTCAACAAGATCTTCCGTAGAGGCCTGCGTTGCTGGGGCAGGAGGCGGGCCACTTGCTCGGGGTGCTCATCTGCAACCATTTCGTCAATGCGATCAAGCGGGTGGTTGTTGGCAGCAATGTGACGGCTAATTCGGTTGAGCTGTGCCTTTGCACCGTTGACTTGAATCGTGTTGAGCTCTATCATCTCCATGGCAATTGAGTCGATGGATTCCCGCTGCGCATGGAGTGGAAGCATGGATCCGAACACGCTTTGTCTTCTGGATCGCACCCCACCGGCATACTCGTTGTCTGTCGACAGCATCTCCTTGAGATATGCATCTCGCACTGGGTCATAGAAATGTCTATTTCGAGCTTTCGATGTATCACAAGAGCCTGGCTCAGGCGATGAGCTCCGGCTCATCGCGCCGCTTGCGTCTTCTTCTTCTTCTTCTT